ACATTTTTCTGCCCTAGCCGGTTTGGCTCAGTGGATAGAGTGTCAGCCTGGAGACTGAAGGGTCCCAGGTTCGATTCCCATCAAGGGCATGTACCTTGGTTGCAGGCACATCCCCAGTAGGGGGTGTGCAGGAGGCAGCTGATCGATGCTTCTCTCTCGTCTCTCATCGATGTTTCTGACTCTCTATTCCTCTCCCTTCCTCACTGTAAAAAATCAATAAAATATATATATATTAAAAAAAGGAACATTTTTCCACAATTACCTTTACCAATTTATTTAGTGTCAATGCTGATCTTTGTGTTTCTATTAAGATTGTGTATATGTAAAAAAAAATACTATGTACATATACACAAAAACAAGCTAAACTTTTAAAAGGTGGACCACTTTTCAAAACACACAAGTGGATAATATGAAATATATATTCCAATTTAAAGTGACTAATTCATGGAAGAAAAGGAAATAACAAAAAGTCTGGGGATCACATGTGGTCTGTAATTCTCTCTGTATCCAACCTCTCTGAAGTCTACTTGTATTAATGATTAAAACTCAATAAATATCCATTTGTTCCTTGCAATAATTAAGTTACTTTAAAAATCACTTTTCTGCAGTCTAATAAAACTGCTATAGACTTTAGGAATGGTGTTTCATCTCTAATTCTAGGTTGAACATACTGCAGAATTAGCAATGAATATGCTGGCAGAGATCTACAGAGACAAGTACAAATATGACACTATTGACTTTTTCTTTGGACTAGGGACAAGGTCAAAGAAAATTTTACTTCCATTACCTAGTATTTACATGCACCTATCAAACATTTTATGTGAATAACCAGATTCTGTCTACACATTCATTCTCAGGTTTACTTCTTTTTTATATATATTTTTTTATTGATTTCAGAGAAGAAGGAAGAGGGAGAAAGAGATAGAAACATCCATGATGAGAGAGAATCATAGATTGGCTGCCTCCTGCACGTCCCCCACTGGGGATCGAGTCCACAACCTGGGCATGTGCCCTTGACCGGAATCGAACCTGGGACCTTTCAGTTCGCAGGCTCCATCCACTGAGCCAAACCGGCTGGCCTCAGGTTTACTTCTATGTAGAGAAATCAATGGTACTTAGAACCCAGTCATTCATACAGAACTAATGAAACACCATGCACATGTCCTTAAGGAGGAGACAGCTCCAAAAACAATTACAAATTTTGTGGGAAAAGATGGGAAGTGAGGAGAATTAGCCCAAGACTAGACCAGTATAGATGCAGGTGCATGATGATACACATGCACGAGACACCCGTACATGAGCAGTTAATCGTGTGCCCTACAGAAACCATTAACCAAAACACGTTTTACAGAAAGTGATTTCCCAAAAACTTTGGAGGGAAAAACCCTATCAAATACAATTACCATTTTAAACTTACTTTTGATGACCTACACTATTAGATTTTAGAGTAAAAGAAGGCAATAGTGAAATGTCTACTGAAAAATGCAATTCTACAATTTGTTTAAATGTAAAACAGTGCTTCTTTACACTATTATAGAAAACAGCCCAGCCAATAAATAACACAACATATATTAGAGTAAAATTTCTCTTCCAGTCAATAGGTCATTCAATCTATCAGTACCGACTAAATGTATTAATTTTATAATGAACATAATCTCAATTCCCCACAGATGAAGACATGCTAAACATTTCTAAATTTAGGTTAAAAAGGAACACTGTTGCCCTAGCTGGTTTCGCTCATTGGATAGAGCATTGGCCTGTGGAAATAAGGTTCCCAGGTTTAATTCCTGTCTAGGGCACATGCCCGGGTTGTGGGCTCAATCCCCAGTAGGGGGCATGCAGGAGGCAGTCGATCAATGATTTTCTCTCATTACTGATGTTTCTCTCTCTCTCTCTTTCATCTCTGAAATAAGAAAAAATACATTAAAAAAAAAACTTTTAAAAATAGATCAGATCAAAAACTAAATAAAACTCATATTAAAAAAAAAGTCTTGCTATAGTTTGAGTAGTGACAGGTACTCTACACCTAGGTTCAAATTCCAACTCCACCATTTACTAGCTGTGTGACTTGGGCAAGTTATTTAACCTCTCAGTACTTCACTTTCCTCATCTATAAAATGGGAATAGTACCTACCACATAGTATTGTTGAGATTTAACACATATAAACTGCTTAGAGTAATGCCTACAACTTATTAAACATTATAAAGTATTTGACAACATTACTTAATTGGAATGGCAGTATTTTGGATGTTACCCTATTGTCAAGATAAAGAAAACTGAGTCAACACGTTACTATACTCACATAGTATTTACCTTTAAGGTACAAAAAATATTCAAGTCCCAATCTTTAATTTCACTGGAAAACATAGCCACAAGAAAAGGTTTTCCATATTAAAATATGAATGCAACAGAACCTTTGGTACTTGAAAAGTTCAAGCAGAGGTATCTACTAAAAATGATCTACTACTCATGATTAGTAGACTTATACCTAGCCAAATCTTATACCTTTCAAGAGATGATTTTGAAATTGTGAAACTCACAGTACCTGCTGCACTGCTTCTGATAAAGCATTTTGTTTTAAATAATGAAGCCCTGGCTGGTTTGCTCAGTGGGCAGAGCGTCAGCCCCCAAAAGGGTCCTGGGTTCGATTCCAGTCAAGGGCACATACCGCTTGTGGGCTTGATCCCTGGCCCTGGTTGGGGTGCATGCGGGAGGCAACCAATCAATGTGCCTCTCTCACATCAATGTTTCTGTCTCTCCTCCTCCTTTCCACTCTCTAAAAAAAAATCAATGGAAAAATATCCTCTGGTGAGGCTTAGGGGAAATTAAAAATTAGAAAAAATAAAAAATGAAAAGTTGAATTTTTCTACTAAATTCTATCACCAAGCACAACTGCTCTCAGCTTGGACAGAATAAAGTCCATGGTGGTAAAATAGCTGTTTATTTAATTTTAAAGGCTCCATTTAAATCATTTTAATGATTGCACTATTTGAATAGCTGCTGCTCAGCATATAAATATTTAGACAACTTAAAAATTACTCATTTCCACTACACATGAAAAAGTCCATTGTGTTATCATATTTTCCTTATCCACAACCTCCCTGACAAGAAAAAGGTAACAACCTTTTGCCTCTAAAGTGAAAATGGTAAATATAAATTTTCTCCAGAGTATCAAACTCAGGAGAGAAAACAAGTTTCATATTTCCTAATTCCTGAATTATATCCACTTTTAGTGTGTTCAAATACAGCAGCTTCACAATTTATCTTACTTAAAGACACAAAACACAGTGCCTCTCAACACTTTCTAGTGCCTTCTCTCATTTCAAACCAAACTGTGAAAGTTTCTAGGCCAATTTTCTGATCCTATCAAAAGGTAAAAGGTGGTACATCATAAACCATGATATGCCAATAAGCCATATTAACGAGGGCCCATCTGAATTTACTTCCAACCTACTATCAATTGATAATTTAGGCTGGGCATCATCTTTCCTCATATAGTCTATACTCTATATTATACAACTCAACCAGAAGAACTGACAACCTTGACCTTTACAAACATCCTCTTGAACCCGGAACATATTACATTAACTCATTTAAAAGGTATTTCTAGAAACATCCTCATGCTGGTGGACAAAAGGTAACTTCACCGTTGCCACCACTTTTTTTCCACAAGGATCTTCTTGGCTTTGTCATCCAAACAGAAATTAACAGTATGTGTACCTAACTGATAAATGGCTCTAACAATTTCAGTTGGGCAAATGGAGTTGGCTATACACATGGAAAGAAGCACATGCTTCATTCCAGATCCTGTCTTTACTAAATTAGAAATGTTTTCTGTAAATAAAAAAATTTCCACTATTTTCCTAAGTAAATCATGACAAACTGAACCACGCAGTAAATAAAAAAGGAAGAGGGTTTAAATCCAGAACATCCCAAATCACTGGCTAGTCAAAAATATAATGCTATAATAGAAAATAATTCAGATCTCCATTAAAATGTGTCACAAATATGGAAGTTTAAATAAAAAAAAAAAAGGTAAACGTAGTTCATCTCACTGTTCCCATATTGGCTCCAAAAACTTGACTGGATTTTTTTAAATCTTAAGTTCTCAGATGCAATATCAAATTGGTGACTCTTGGGCATAAGCTAACCTCTCCCTATTTTTTTCCCTAGGGAAGTTACTGCACCAAGAGCCTACCTTCCCGTTCTTCTCAAATACAATATAAAAATGCACTGAAGTTTGGATTTAAAGGGAGAGAGAGGGAGAGAGAGAGGCCTATTTAATCAAACTCTTCAAAAAACAAGAAAAAAAAATCTACATGGAAATGAAGTGTGATGGAAAAGAGCAGTGTGCATGGATCACATCTAATGGAGATTTCTAGACCAGGGAAGACGCTGACATCCGGCCCATTTCAAGGAGACACATAAGAGCTGAAGAACTTCCACAGGGAGAAGCACTTGAGATCCTCTGAACAAGGCACGGCCTGGGAGAAAGCTCCAGAATCCAGGGCCACGGGCTACTTCCACAGTGAGACTTCTCAGAAGCATCCTGAGGAGGCACACCGGCTTCTCTGCCTTCAGGGGCTGGTGTGGAGGGAGGGGCCCCGAGCACCATCTTTTCTTTACAGAAACGCTTCAAACCTGAGCTGCTTCCAGCTTCCACGGGGAGAGGGGGAGCGGAGGAGCCTGGCGCCCCCGCTTGCCTCTCGCCCCAATGCGCAGCGGCTGGGCGGCCGTGGCAACGAGGGAGCGGCGGCCGGCGCTGCCTGCGTGTTTACGTCTCGGATGGGTGTGGGAAGAGGAGACAAGAGATTCTAATGGAAAGATGGAGGGGAGAGAGGAAGAGGGGTTGGGGGAGAGGGAAGCACCACCTTTCTTTTCTCTGCTCTTCCTGGGGATCTGAAAAATCCTCCTAACGGGTCTTTCGGGCTCTTCGGGGCCTTTGGGGAGAGCGGCCGCGCCCGCCCCCGCCTCAGCCGAATCCCGAGGCTGCTCTTGGCTGACGCTCGCGGTGGCCTCGGTCGCCGTCTCCTCGGGCGCCGCGCCGCCGCCGCCGGGCTCCCAGATGCTGGGGCCGCCGCCGCCGCCGCCGCCATTTTGTGGGGAAGACTCGGGCTGCGGAAGGGCCCGCTTCATCTCCTCGTCGCCGCCGCCGCCACTTTCGCAGCTCGAGGTCGTCGGCGGAGTGGCTTCCGTCTCCGCAGCAGTCGCCATCGCGCCGGCCCAGGAAGCTTCTGCCAACAAGGTGAAGGGGGTGGGGGGAAGGGGCGGCGGGCCGGCCTGGCCGCCTAGCTGCTCTCAGCCCACCCTCACCCTCCCCGCCCCGTGGCCTTGGGCCGCGCTCCTGACCCAGGAGCCTCTCGAGGGCCCCACAGCGGGCGCCCCAACCGTGCCGCCCGGCCCCACGAGCCGCTCCTCGCGCGCGCAGTCCTTCGCCGGCCCCCGCCACTCAACGTGCTCGCGTCTGAGCCGGGAGGAGGCGGGGTCCTCGTGGGCCGCTCCGCCAATGGGGGCGCGGCGCCCACCTCCGCGGGCGCGGATACGACGGCGCCGGGGGGCGGGGCCTCGGGCGCTGGAGCCCGCCAAAAGGGGCGACCGCAACGCCCCGCGAGTACCTCGACGCCCGCCGGCCGCGGGTTGGGGTGTGGGGGCCTCAGGGCGGGCTGCCGTTGCCAAGGCCGCGCCGACCAGCGCTGTGGGTCATGGAGGCGCGTCCGGCCAGGTGTCTCCTATTTTGAAAGAAAACCACCTTCCTTGTCTGCGCAGGCGTCACACCAGCCAAACGGGACTCAAGCAGCGGGTGGGGAATGACCCACCCTGTGGAACAGCTGCGAACAAAAGCCTGTAAAGGAGATAAGAGAACGAGCTGCAGCACCGGAGCCTGAACGCCTCCGGCAAAGCCTCACTCGACTTCAGCCCCGTGCCAATCCCTCTGGATCGTGCATCTTTACAGTTGATTACTTCCACCAGCCCCCCACTCTTTTATCTTTTTAAAAAATATTATTTTTTTAAGAGAGAGAGGGAGAGAGAAACATCAATAATGACAGAATTTTCGATCGGCTGTCTCCTGCACGCCCCTCACTGGGGATGGAGCCTGCAACCCCGGCATGTGCCCCACCCAGCAATGGAACCCTGACCTCCTGGTTCATGGGTCAGTGCTCCACGACTGGGCCACACCAGCCGGGCCCCACTCTTTTATCTTAAGGAGTTAGAAGCGGTTGTACGCCTCCCGCAAGCAGCCAATACCTGCGATCCTTTGGTATGACGTCAGCCTAGTGTTTACAGGATTTTGTTCTGGTGAGCCTGCTGGCTGCTGACTTAAATGTTTTTCCTTTGGTGTCTTTAGTTTCCTAGGGTGAGTGTATACTGAAGAAAAATATATTCATTTGTAGCCACATTAAAAAATATACAGCGCCCTAACTGGTTTGGCTCAGTGGATAGAGCGTCGGCCTGGGGACTGAAGGGTCCCAGGTTCGATTCCCGTCAAGGGCATGTACCTTGGTTGCGGGCACATCCCCAGTAGGGGGTGTGCAGGAGGCAGCTGATCGATGTTTCTCTCTCATCGATGTTTCTAACTCTCTATACCTCTCCCTTCCTCTCTGTAAAAAAAAAAAAAAAAATCAATAAAATATATTACAATAAAAAATATACAGCAAGTGGTACTTGAAAATAGTCAAGTGGAATGCCTTTTGAATAGTTTTTGCTGACTAGGTTGAAACCACTATCATTGAGTACAGACAGTATTTTCGGGTTGCTTTCTATATGCTAGGCACTGGACAAGACGAGTTACATCATCTCCATTTAATCCTCACAATAACTACCAGGGAGATACCACAGGTATACCTTGTTTTAATGTGCCTTGCTTGATTGAGCTTCACAGATGTTGCATTTCTTTTTTACAAACTGAAGACCAGACTCTCCACCTGCAAAAAGATTACAACTGACTTTATTGAGGTAATCTGGAACCAAACCTACAGTATATCTGAGCTATGCCGGTGTTATGCACAATTTAAAATACGGATTTTTTTAAAGTATTTCAAGACCTTGAACTAAATGAAGTTATGAAAATCAGAACTTGAAGTCAGGTCTGTTTAACTCCATCACAAAGTCCTTACACTTGACTACTTCTCCAAGACCTGATCTTGACAGCAGCTGTGCACCTTTATGCATTATGGATGAAGACATGAGGATTGACACCTAGTTCAGTCTCCTGGCAGCAAGATCAGGATTGGAACCCAAATCTCGATTCTTAAACTCCAGCAGTCTCCCAAGGAGATGACTGACCAAACCTATAATTATAACAAAATTCTAGGCCAGGGGTGGGGAATGTTCACCCCTCGGGCCATATAAGGTCCGGGAAATCATTTGGTCTGGCCCTGCCAAGGCATTAGGGGTGAGTTAATTAAATGTTTGACCAAAATAGCAGGCTAATTTTTAAGTTGATAATTTTGTAGGGCCAGCAAATGATGTTAGAAATATCCAAATGGCCCTTGGCAGAAAAAAATGTTCCCCACCTCTGCTCTAGGCCTTGCTACTTAAAGAACATCCTCAAGATCAACATGAAAGTTGAATTCCTATGTCCTGTGATAAACATCCCTGTTTAACAGCCTATGTGGAAAAGCTAATCATGGTTTGCCCAACCTATTTGAATCAGCTGAGTAAATGGAAGGACAATGAGTGTAATAAAACAATTATTCCTTTTAGTAAACAGTTCATGTAAAAACATGAAAAAATACTGATGAAAACATGAGCTATATTGAAACAAAATGTTCATTATTTTAAGATAAAAGTGACTTTTGCCGAAACCGGTTTGGCTCAGTGGATAGAGCGTTGGCCTGCGGACTGAAAGGTCCCAGGTTCGATTCCGGTCAAGGGCATGTACCTTGGTTGCGGGCACATCGCCAGTGGGAGATTTGCAGGAGGCAGCTGATTGATGTTTCCCTCTCATCGATGTTTCTAACTCTCTATCTCTCTCCCTTCCTCTCTGTAAAAAATCAATAAAATATATTAAAAAAAAGATCTGCGTATCTATTTTAAAAAAAAGTGACTTTAAATTTGGAGGAAGAGGCACTTTATATAAAAGAGGCTACAGAAGATCAGAAACAAATGTTGAGGTCTCTAAACATTTTTGTTGGTTTATTAAAAGTATCCCTAAAAGCTAATTTTATCAGATTAAAAGATAATAAATAGGAACTGGTTGCATACTGGTGCCACTACTCAATCAAAGCAATCCTCATTTGTTTATCAACAGCCAGCATAAAGCAAACACACCAGTTGGTGGTAAAGGGTACCTAAAACTAAGACTAGACAACCATTAGTCTTCCACAGAGACTGCATCTTAAATTTTGTGATGATAAAAATTTTATATTCCAAATCATTTATTTAAAAAATTTTTAACAAATCAGTATTATACATTATAAGGTATAAGAAAATTGGAAAGCTCTAACATATAATTTTAGCTATATAGTCAATTATCATAGCAAAAAAAAAATCAGGTTCTGCTGGATATTACTAATTACTAATATTCAATGTTATAATATTTTTTAGTTGTTTAATGGGTGCTAACCATTGCTATGTGCTGAGGATGTAATTCTGAAGCAAGTGGACATGGTTACCTCCTTTGACTTTATGGTTCAGTGGGGAATATATCTAAAACTAGAGTCAATAGTGATGGCTAAATGGAGACCTACAGGTTAAGTGAAGAGTCAGCTCTAGGAGAGGGATAGAGGGGCATACATTTGGTAAATCCTACCTATCTCAGGAAAATTAACACAGTGAGATAAAGAGGATATACATATGTGTGTTTATATATGTATGCATATAGATATCCAGTATGTATGGGGGAGGTGGGGAGGTGTGCAAGGGGAAGAGCTACCACAGTTGTAGTACATGGATCTGGGGCACAGGCTACCAAAGGTTAGAAGTATAAAACCTATGATGTCCCTTACCCTCAACAACAACACAAGGAACATTAGAGAATATGAGAGTATATCATTAAATACCCAGGGACCACAATTTCATTTTTAAAATTTTGAAACATGAAAATAATCCAATTCAACTCATTTTAAAAATAGAAAAGCATGGGGGGGGGGAGTGTTGGGGGAAGTGAAGGGATTGAACAAAAAAGAACTCATGGACATGGACAACAGTGTGGTGATTGCGGGAGTGGGGGGAGGGGAAGAGGAGACAAATAGTGATGGAAAAAATAAAATAAATAAATAGGAAAGGGCAGTAGCCCAAGATCACACAGCAAACTAATAATTACAGTTAACATGCATTGAGTACTTTCTATATGTCAAGCACTGGTATAAGAGTATTAAATGTATTGTCTCATTAATCCCCACACAAAGTGCTAATGTCATCTCTATTTTACAGATAAGGAAACTGAGACAGAGTATTTAACTTTCTTAAGGTCATTTATATTATAAATGGCAGAACCAAGATTCTAACCTAGGCAGTCTGCCTCCAAAGCCCATGCTCTTATTAACCGCTATATGCTAACCTCTCTTCTTAGTGGCAAAACAAAGTCCAGAACCCAGTGCATTTTCCACTTTGCCATTTCATATCACCTCCTCAAACAGTACTTTAAAAGACAGGATATAAATGGTATAACTCAGCAATAAAATCAGTATTACTGATGCATAAACCTTTGACTTCACAATTTTACTTCTAGAAATTTATAATACAGATATACATACTCATTCACATTCTTAATGTTTATTCAAGGATATCCACTGTTGTTTGTAATGGGACAAGTGTTTGTAATAGCAAAGGACTGGAAACAACCTAAATATCTACCATAGGGTATAGCCATACAATGGAATACAGCCATATAAAGGAATGAAATATTGATACATGCTACCATGTGGAAGAACCTTGAAAAGATTATGTTAAGAGAAAAATCAGATACAAAAAGTCACATATTGTATTATTCCATTCATATGAAAGTTTAAAATAGGCAAATTCATAGGAACAGGTGATAGGTGATTACCAGGGGCTGGAGAGAGGAGAGAATGAGGACAGACTGCTAATTAATTATAGGATTACCTTTGGGGTGATGAAAATATTCTGGAACTAGATATGCTGTTAGTTGCACACCTTTGTGAATATACTAAAACCCACAAATTATACAGTTTAAAAGGATAGATTTTATAATATATGGATTATATCTTAATTTAAAAACAAAACAAAACAGAGAACATACACATTCCCTGAGGACAGATCCTCCAAGCAGCAGACTCTCTCTCCCATCAGCTTTGAAGAAGCAAGCTGCCATGAATTCTACAGCTGCCAACAACTTGAGAGCACTTAGAAGAAAATTCTTTCCTGTTGAGTGTACAGGTGAGAAAACAGTCCAGCTGACACAATGATGTCAGCATTGTGAGACCCAGGCACAGAAACCAGCTAAGCCATACCCATACTCTGACATATAGAAACTGTGAGGTTATATATGGTTATTGCTTTAAGCCACTAACTTTTTGGTAATTTGTTACACAGCAATAAAAAACTAATATAGAGCCTGGCTGGTGTGGCTTAGTGATTGAGTGTCGACCTATGAACCAGGAGGTCACAGTTCGATTTCAGTCAGGGCACATGCCCAGATTTCGGGCCAGATCCCCAGTATGGGTTCTGCAGGGGACAGCCAATCAATGATTCTCTCTCATCATTGATGTTTCTATCTCTCTCTCCTCCCTTCCTCTCTGAAATGAATAAAAATAAATGTTTATTTTATTTTTAAAATTTTCAAGGTACTTTGTTGTTAAAACAGGTCACAACACTAAGCCTCTAGCCTGTTCTGCCAATGTACAAGCTACAAATGCTTGCCCAGCAGCTAAGGGGCACTCTGCAGTAGCATGTTTGAAAATTGAATAAAAATCCCTATAAAACAAACATTCAAATAGTTTCCATAGGAACACAGATAAGTGTGACCCCATCACCTAGGCCTTCCACCTTCTTCCATTTGTGCCAACCCCACTTACAAAGACATTTCAAAATTATCCATAATTAAGTTAAATGGTCTCCCCAAGTCCCTTAAGTCAAGCTACACTTGCATAACAGCTACAAGAATGGCATCTACACATTAACAGGAGCTGAAATCCCGCTCTCCCAGGCACCAGACACAAACAGAGCGCTGGTGTTCCTGCTTCTCCACCTCGGGCTGGAAGTTGTTCTGGACTTGCCACATTAGTTGCCATGCCGATCCTGACATCACATAGTAGATGGTCAGCCTCTGGAATCCATTGAGAATAGAAGCAGCAGCAGTGTAAGCACCCATGTTTTCAAAGAGCATCCAGTCCCCCACATGCATCTTGGGTAAGCCATAGCACTCTACAATGCGATCGAGGCTGTCACAGGTTGGTCCCACATGCTGGATGAAGAATACCTCTCATCTGGTTTGGGATGCTTCTGCAGAAGGT